CACCCTCCACCCTGCACCCTTCCCGGCTGGCCAAGCTGTGCTTTCTCCTTGCTGCTCCATGTGCCTGCCCCTTCTGAGCAGCGGGGGACTCAGCCGCCGGGGAGCTGCACCTGGCCTGCCTCTTCTTCGGGCACCTCGACCTCGCCGGGGGTCTGGGCGGATCACGAGACTCTCGCTTGGCGCCTGGAGAGCAGATGCATGCCAAGGGCAGAACCAGCTGAGGCCGAACCCTGGAATCCAAGCTGGTGCATTCTCCCAGAACCCCGTGAGTGCGAGAAGGGGGTGATCGGATGTATTAATCACTGGCTCGGAAAGGAATGAAAATATTTCCATAGTATAGTATGCTTCTTTCCTAAAACAGATGTGCCCTCATTGTTCCATGAGGAAGTAATTAAGTGTATTTGATTAAAACACTCATGAGCGCGATCATTGATTCGAGGCTACCATCCGCGCGGGGCTCTCCCTGGGGACTTGGCTGTGCGTTGGGGCTGCTTCTCTCCTCTTGACCCCATGAGGTGCTGTGTGCTGCTGGGGACCAAGCCCAGGACCTCACACAGGTGAGGCGAGTGCTGGACCGCCGAGCTCCGTAGCAGAGGTGAAGAGAGTGTGGCTCAGAGATTAAGTCACTGGAGCGATAGCACAGCGGATAGGGCGTTTGCCTTGCATGCGGCCGACCCGAGTTCAATTCCTCTGTCCCTCTCGGAGAGCCTGGCAACCTACCGAGAGTATCCCACCAGCACAGCAGAGCCTGGCAAGCTCCCCGTGGTGTATTCCATATGCCAAAAACAGTAACAATAACGGTCCTCACTTCGTGTTTCTGGGCTATACTACCATGCGACAGGGACACATGGAGATGTTACTGGCACCCACTCGAGCAAATCAGTGAGCAACGGGATAACAAGTGATACAAGTGAAGTGATACCCCAGGATAGTCCGGTCTGTGGCACAGTCAAATCACGCTGTCTTGACTTTCCACGCCCTCAATTACTTTCTGATCTTTCCTGTCTATCATTTGGTTTGGGGCCACACCTTGCTGTGCTCAGAGCTTATACTTGGCTCTGGTGCTCAGGGATCATTCCTGGCGGTGCCGGGGGACTGTATGATGCCAGTCAATGAGCTGACCGTGGCCCTGCGCATGGCAGATGCCTTCCTTGCTGTGTTTTTTCGTATGACCTTGTCTGTGAGACATCTGTCAGCTCTGCACCCAGATCAGCCCTCCTGCCTCTCTTCCTCACAGCCCTTCCGGTACCCTCCTCACTGTGCTTTCTTACCTTTTCCTTAGAATTACCGTCTGTGTTTATATCTTTTGTGTGTGTGTGTCACACCCGGCAATGCTCAGGGGTTACTCCTGGCTCTGCACTGAGGAATCACACCTGGCGGTGCTCGGGGGTGGAGGTGGTGGGGGGAACCATCTGGGATGCTGGGAATCGAACCCCAGTCGGTCACGTGCAAGGCAAACACCCTACCCGCTGTGCTATACCTCCAGCCCCTGTGTTTACGTCTTGAACCTAAAAAGATTTTTGTGAATTCAAGAGTTGCATACTATCCCCTATGAAAGCTGGTGTAAATATTGATGTCACGTTTACATTAAAAACAGCACGTTTTACTAAGGTCAAGCTACATATGTAATTACTATGTTTACTCTTAATATTTTTGAGTCCTATTTTATGTTTTAGGCTATTTGGTCCCCCCTTCCCTGCCACCACTGGTAAAATTTTAGAAGTTGGCCTGATAAAAAAAAATTTTAATTTTCCTAAAGTTTATCTAAACAGTAGGATACCTAATCCCAATTACATATGAAGTCTAAGATTGCAAAACTTCTTGTGAGAGAAGTTTAAGAAGTTTCCTACAGACTCAGGCTTTGTTATTTTCTGCCCCTCCTAGTATTTCAACAGGATTAAGTTTTTGGAATCAGTGGATCAAGTTTTAATGTTCCTGTTCCTTCCCTATACTGACATGTGCTTTGGCAGAACAAAAAAGAGACCTAAACATGTCAGCATGATTTTTGTTCAATGCATTAAAAACCATAAAAGTAACAAGATCTGACCCAAATCCCTAAACTCCTGACATGGTGGTTTTGTCCTTTTCAGTCCCGAAATTCAGATCGCTGACTTTGAAAAGCTCTCGGCCTGGGAGCACAAGTTATGGCAGCAGTGGGTGATTTATTTGAAGTTGATTGTGAGGGGTGGGCAACGTGGGTTAGTGGAAGGATTCCGGGCCACGAAGGATAGGGGCCAGCTCTGTCACTCAGGACACAGCTCATGTCTTGAGTGGTCGGCTGGTCTCTGTCCTCTCTGGCGGTTTCCTCGCTGGACCATGGACCTGTCAGGATCCAGTTCCAGGGGTGGCTGTGATGGTGGGAGTGGGGTATGGTTGACTCTTCGGGTGCTCACACAAACGGGCTTGCTAGCGGGAGTATTCTGTGTACGTTCATTTTGGAAGTGCCCTCCGGGTGGGTCAGTTCCAGTAGGATTTCTTTCCTACACAGTCACCCTCTGGAGCTTAGCTGTTCTTAAAGTTCTCTTCCTGTGAGGGATGAAAAACCAGTGAGATGCCATTAGGCCTCTTGCTTTTGTTTCTGTTTGGGGGCCTCTCCCAGCTGTGCTCAGGGCTCACTTCTGACAGGGCTCGGGAGACCATCTGGGGTGCCAGAGAAGCCAAGCCAGGTGGGTTGTGTGCAAGGCAAGTGCCCTACCTGCTGGACTGTGACCCGGCCTGGTGCCATTCGGTCTTTTCACACTTTCCATCACTGTGCCCCGGGAGATGCAGCCCCAGAACTCCGGGCACCCTTTCTGAGCAGGTATTCGTGGTTTTTTTTTTGTTGTTGTTGTTCTGCTTTTTGGGTCACACCCGGCAATGCACAGGGTTACTCCTGGCTCTGCACTCAGGAATCATTCCTGGTGAACCCAGATCGGCCGCGTGTAGAGGAGCAAACGCCCTACCTGCTGTGCTATCGCTCCATCCTCTCAGGTATTAGTGTTTGAGGATCGTTGATTTGGGAGTGAGGGAGCATGTGTCCACGGCAGCTGTTTGAGGACCCCAGAACCGGAGGAATGTGGCTCACGGGCTCTTGAAACCAGTCAGCCCCAGTTTGGTTCGGTGTTAGATCCCACACAAGCACCTCTGGGTCTTGTTCTCTTTGCTGCAGAAGGTGTCCCTGGCCTTACCAGATGGGGCTTTCTCATCTCGTCTTCCACCCGCTTCTTTGTCACCTGTGCCCGGGTCAGTTCCTCAGATGAAACCTGGTCTCTGCCACTTCCTGTGCCCCCTGCCCTCCCCTCACTCTTCTGTGCCAGTGTGCCCGGGAGGCCAGGTCAGCTGCACGGGGACAGACCCCCCTCAAAGAACACCCCTCTCTGCATTCTCACGCTGCCTGGTGGACATGGTCCTCAGACGCTTACGGCAGCCCCAGCTGATGGACATGCCCCCTCAGCTTGGGACACATAGCAATCACTGGCTCTGGACACCTCAGCCTTGAAGGGACACCCTCTTGGCTCTTTCTGCTCCCTCCCCCCCTTTTTTATTTTTGGCTAAAGCAAGTTACACAGCCATGCTAGTGAATTCGTCCGACGAGTAATGATACCCAACACCTCAGTGTGGTTTCTCCGGAAGTCTCCCTTACTGTCCCTCCCCACGCTCGGACAGACCCCAGGAGGTTGGCTCAGCTGCCCCCATGTTCCCCTGGCACCTTGCACTTCTCTGCCCTTCCCACAGCATGCTGTTCCCCCATTTCTCCCGCCCCCTCAGCATGTCTCATGGCTCCCTGGTCAAGCTCCATAAGGACGGAGAGAGGCTGCCGACCGAGCTCAGTACTCACAGCTGTGGTCGCCGTATTCCTGCAGCAGCATCAGGCATCGGCTTGCTTTAGTGGGAGAGAAAGGGTCAGTGGGATAGATAAAGAAAAGATGATGGTGACTTCCTGTTACTGAGCCCTTCCCAGACTCCAGGATCAGCACTCAGCATTTTTTTAAAAATATATTTCATTTTTATAAAGTTGTTCACAATAGTTCATTACAGATAATATTCAAACACCAATCCCACCACTGTGCACCTTCCCACCACCATAAAATTGTTGAATTTCATCCTGGAGCCATCTAAGCTCTTACATAAGATATTACAAACACATATGTTAAAACCAAACAAACGTGTGCCACTTTTGGTACATCAGTGAGCTAGAGAACGAGAGATTGTGCAGCCGCATTTGCAGCTGCATGCTCTAGAACGTTCTGTGTTGCTCTCTTCCGGGAGCTTTATTTCATAGTCTCTGGATCTTTGCCCTGGATGAGATTATATGGCACCGGAAAGCTACTGGAAGACCAAGGAGCTGGGGGGAGGAGGCCCAGGCCCATTCTGAGCGAGCGTGGAGATCTCAGTCACGGGTCCTGCATACCTGGGTTTTTTCTGCAGGTTCCTTCATGGGTGAGGCTTGTCCGAGCGTGTGGAGAGTGGCCTTGAGCTCTCAGTTCTCAGCTCTCCCAAACAGTTGGGTTCTGGAGGTTTCCGGCTGCCAGGGTTCTGTTTGGAGTGGGGATGGAAACGACCCATACCCTTCCGAGGTACACTGGTGAAGACAGTCTGGCGCGGGGTCAGGATGTTCAGTACTAAGCATCTTAATGCAGCATCTCAGACTATCGAGATGCTGCACCCAAAAAGATCGGTGCTGACACTCCCCTTAGATGAATGGTGACTTTGAGGGGACAAAGTCAGTCCTCCATCTAGGGAGTGGCAGTGACTCTGGGGAGAGGAGGTCAGTCCTCCATCTAGGGAGTGGTGTGGCCCGGGCTTGATGACTCTGCCTGGTCTGAGTGCTTACTCCCTCAGCTCACATCCCTGGGTGCTCTCATGGGTGTTTCACAGGAGTGTGGACACCTGCCACTGTCTGAGTAAGGGGGCAAGCCAGGTTCCTCCCTGCTGAGCAAGAGGCCAGCGGGAGGCTGGTTCCTTGGCCAGGTGTTAATTGTGGAGGATAACTTCGTGTTCGTTCTTGTGTCTCCTGTCAGGGTGACCCGGGAGCACAGGGAGATGCTGGTGAAACTGGCCAAGCAGAGCACCAACAAGGCCAAAGAGTCACTCCGGAGGGTCCGGGCCAACGCCATCAATAAGCTGAAGAAATCCAAGGACAAGGTCTCAGAGGACACCCTTCGGCTCATAGAGAAGCAGGTAGGTGACCCAGAGAGTCCCTGTGGGTGTCAGCAGTGAGGAGAGTGGGAACTGTGTCCCCAGCTCTTGGATCTATGGGACGGCGTTGACCGAGTCTGCTTGGGACTTTGGGAGCCAGTACCAGTGACCTTTGAACTGTGTTCCAGTCTCCCTGCCCAACACAGGCCCCCACTTCATTTACTCCCGTTCCTGCAAAGTTCAGAGGAAACTGCAGTTCAGAGATGCCACCAGCGTGCCTTGAGTCGTGGCTGCTGGGTGCTAGGGGTGGGACCCCTCACAGGCGCACGGGCTGCAGAGCCTGCCCACCCACATTTGTCTGTGTGTGGCTGGGAAGCCAGGAGGCGCCATTGTCCTTACCAGGCTGAGGGCTGGTGTTGACTCTGAAACAAGACCCAAAGGAGATGCTGGGTTCCAACAGTGAGACCAGGTGGGAGGGAGTAGTCGTAGAGGGATGGAGGGAGAAAAGAAGAGAACGTCTTTCAGTCAGACAGAACGGCAGGAGAGAGAAACAGTGGGGAGTTCGCCAAAGGTCTGGGACCCTACACTGCCTCAGCGCCCGGGGATTTCCATCTGTCTCTTTGCTCCTGTCTTTCTGCAGCTCTGCTGGGCCGTGGCTGTTCTAGGCCAGACTCAGTGGCTGGCGCCCGGCCTTGGCTGGGGTTCAAGTCCCCTTTTGTATCTCTCTCACTCCTGGAGTCCACGGGCTTCCCAGGGCACCTTTTTGTGGCCACCGCATCTCATTCAAGTACATTTTAACCACCTGCTCATGTCCGTTCCATTGGCCAAGCGAGTCAACGTGGGCCAAGCCCATTCTCTGCAGGGAGTGGAACATTCATTTCCGTGGAGGTCTGGAAAAAGAAGCAGATAATTTGAAATGATAATCGAACATATCACAGCATCCTAATCATTTGAGGTGCTTATAAGGGTATATACCCTGGGAGCAACCTTTTTCCCCCCAGTTTATTCAAACACCATAGTTTACAAAAGTTGTTCATGATGATTTGTTACAGGCATTTGATACTCCAACACCAATCCCACCACCCCTGCCCTCTTACCTCCACCACTATCTCCATTTTCCCAACCACCTCTCAAGGTTGCCCCTGTAGCAGGCCCACAGTGATTTATTTTTATACTGCTTGCTACCACTAAATGGCTAGCAGAATGATCAAAAAAATACTTCGGGGGGGGCTGGAGTGATAGTACAGCATGTAGGGTGTTTGCCTTGCACGCCGCCAACCCAGGTTCAATTCCCAGCATCCCATATGGTCTGCTTAGCACTGCCAGGAGTAATTCCTGAGTGCAGAGCCAGGAGTAACCCCTGAGCATTGCCGGGTGTGACCCAAAGAGGAAAAAAAAAAAACTTTGGTAAAAGAAAATTTATGTAAATAGTTATATCTGACCACGGGGACTTTAAGTCCTTGTGTGAGGGTTTACTGAGCTGTCATTGCAGGTTAAGCTTCTGTGTTAATGTTTTGGTTAGTTGAGAGTACTTGGCTCCTAGGTTACGTCCCACCCAGCCTGATATCAGTTTGGACATGTTGCTCGAGAAAAGTCAGGATATTTTCACTGGGCAGTGCGCTTACGTGAGAGTTTTGGCAGCTTAGCCTCTCTGTGGAGCTACATCCTGAGGTGGTGGGGTCTGGCCCCAGAAGCCGCACTGTGTACCCCCGTGTACCACCATGTACGCACTGTGTACCCTGTGACACCAGAGGAAGCAATAGATCTTCCTCCTGGGACCTGGGAGAAGTGGCCTGGCTTCTCGCAGTCGCTTCCTTCCGAACACAGAGCTCCTGACTCTTACCCCAGCCCTCCCGGAGTGCCTGGGAATGTATCTCCCTTACGTATCTCCCAGGGCCTCCCACCTCAGTCCACTGTTGGCCTTTCTGTTTCTTCCCCACCCCGAAAGCCTCCGGGTCCCCCAGCCTTCCAGATGGGCCTTCTCTGAGACCTGGGCACCAGTTTCGGTGACCAGACGCCAGGGAAGAATGACCTGAGAACCAGCGTGGAGACACAACCCACAGGCAGACAGAGACCTCCCTGGAGCCGTCCCTGCCAGCCTGGACATTTCCTTTGGTGCTCGTTACTTTCTGTTATTTTCCAAATGGCATGAGATTAAGCCAGGCTAGCTTAGCAGGGGTTTTTTTCTCTTTTTTTTAAGCTCAATAAGAAAGTGATTGACCTTGTTAACATTTACGTGCATTCCTTCTGTTGGTCTCTGCCAATGTCTAGGTCTTGCTATAGGAAGAACCATCCCGTCACGTCCATTTACAGGCCAGCCTATGCAGTCACCTCTGTCAGAATGTTGTCACTTATGCATTAGTTCTTACCGTTACTGCTTACAGCTTCACTTACTGTCCTGCAAGTAAATGTTTGAGTAAGAAAACATTCAGGAGACAGCTTTGTTGAATCTATTTTGTTTTTTGGGTTTTTTTTCCCTGACAGAAGCTGTTGATCTGGAGATTTTACTATGTGTTTTTGGCTTTATTTTTCAAAGAAGCCAGGCAGATACTGCTTGTATAGCTTTATTCAAACAATTTTCCGAAATGTATTTGTTTATTTTGTTCCTGATCGTCAAAGTAACATAAAATCATTGTACAAAATTATAGAAAAATATAGAGAGTTTTTAGTCTTAAGAGGCCCCAATTTTAGAAAAGTAAAAGGGAATAATTTACCTCTTAATTCTGCATCATAGAAACAACTGTTTTTAATATTTCAGAATGATTCTTCCCCTCCTTTTAAATACTAGTGAGTTTTGTTTTTTAACTAGTTTTTAATATGATTGAGAACATGTAGTATACGGACAATTTTATCTCCAGCTTTTAATTTTCTGTTTAGCAATAAAGCCATTGGTATTTTCTTGTTTCTTAAAAATCTCTTTGTAAACAGCCATTTCTAATGGATGCAAATGAATCCATAATTGTGGTTATACCATAATTCACTTTTAAAAGCCCTATCCTTGCTCTGGTCTACACTTTAGTTATTATAAATAAGGCTGGAGTGCATATTTGTGGACATAAATCTTTGCGGATACAATTTTTCCAAGATACAGTCTCTATACAACCACAGAGTTGCAGCACAAAAAGGAAGGCATGTTTTAAGTTCTTGCTTCCTACTGCCTAAATCACTGAGTTTATTTTTTTTATAAATATGTCTATCAAAATTCATGTTTTTCTGATCCCCAACATTTGAACCTGCAATTTTTGATGTGCAGTTGGAATGTGTTACTTCCACACCCCAGAGAAAAGATCGTTTATTTTTTTCCTTCCTATTTTGGTTGCAAGTTGTGGGCTGACGAGAACCGGACCCCTCCCCCAGTGCTCCTGGCTGACCCGGCAGCTTCAGGCGCAGACTGAGTCTCCAGCACGGCCAGGCACTTGCCCTGCCTTTGAGCGTGTCCCCTGTGCATGATTGTTATTTTTTTGGCTAGTTCCATCCAGACTTTCTGGAGGACAACAGAGTAGTAGCATATGCCAAAATGAACTCATTTCTAATTTAGTGGCTGATTTATCTGAAATAAATTGCCCAAAATCTTCTCTTCAGAAGTGTCCCTTGATGTATGATATATGATGGTCGAAAACTAGACTGTCTAAATTACGATGTTGGGAGAAGTTGTTTCATATCCCATTCACTGTCGTCTCTACATAGGTAGTTACAAGAGTATTGCCCAGAGCTGGGAGCAGATGGCTCATGTTTTGTATGGGGAGGGCCTGGGTCCCATCCCTAGCACCATGTGGATCTCTGAACACCTCCAGGAGTGACCCTGAGAACGGGGACAGGAGAATCTCCTGAGCACTACTAGATGTGACCCCCCCCCAAAAAAAAAGGTCTTCTTAGTGCTCCTTTTTATTTTTTGTTATCTGGGCCATACCTGGTGGTGCTGAGGGCTTACTCCTGGCTCTGTGCTCAAGGAACACTCCTGGCAGGCTCAAGGAACTATTTCTATGAAGTTCCGGAAATTGAACCCGGGTTGGCTGCATGCAAGGCAAGCACCTTTGCTGCTCTACTCTCTCTCCGGCCCCTTCTTAGTACTTTAAAAAGAAATTTTTCTGAAGAGGCAAATTACACAACCAAATTACAGTGGACATTCCATTTTTATAACGAAATGTCTGACATGCATAAAAAGGTTGCCAGCTTATCTGCATCAAAACGTTAGTGAGGGTCATTTCAGGTAATGGGATTACGAATGATTTAAATTGTATCCTTTGTGAGTCGTCGTCCCCCCCCCAGATTTATTTTGAGGTCAGATTTTTAAAAATAAATAAATAAATCGTACAGGCATGTTTCCTCTTTGATGTATCGGAGTGAAATGGTTGGGTTGCAAGGTTCCGTCTCTGTAATCATGTCTGACCCTCGGGCCCCCCGGCCCAGGCCAGCTCTGCTGAAGAACCCGCCTGCCCACCCGCCCGCGCACCGTCTCGAGCGCTGCCATCTGCCAGCCTGCTGTTCACCTTCGTTGTAGCGGGCTATAAATGGGCCTGCAGAACATGAAAGCACTTGGCAGACACCGCCAGGAAAGCTGGCCAAGATCCTTTCACTGCGGCCTTTTTCTGACCACGGAGCTGCTCTGAAGTGAAGCTCGGCAGTCACAGCAGCCGGAGGGAGGCTGCGGGCGGGAGCTGCACTCGCCTGCCCGCCTGGCACGGTGGGTGTTCTGACCCCGATGGCGCTCGCTCAGGCAGGACTTGCTCCCGGCCTGCCCCGGGGACTGTCCTTGGCCTCCAGGCCCCCGCCCCCTTTTCCGTCTCTGCCTACCATTCCCCTCACCTTGTCAGAGTAATTGATTCCTGGTATCTCTGATCCTTTTGGGGGGGGCACGGTGGCAGTGGGTGGGGAAGCAGACCAGACAGTGCTCAGGGCTCACTCCTGGCAGTGCCGGGAGGTCACTCAGGGTCAGCTGTGTGCAAGGCAAGCTCCCGGTGCACTCGCGTGCTCCCCCTCTCTCTGTGTCTCTCTCTGTCTCTCTGCTCCCTCTGAGCTGGCGTGTTGTCATGGAGAGGACACCGGGCCCAGCCGACCGAGGTTCAGGTCCTGGCTCTCTCTCGGCAGGTGACCGATGAACGTGGCTGAGCCCCCTTGTGCCGCTGCTTCCCTCCCCATGAAGCAGGCACTTCTCTGAACGGGGCTGCTGGCCCTCTGCGACCGCTGGTCCCGTGTCCATCCCTCCTACTCTCAGCCCCCGTGAGTCTGGATGTGGGACTGATGAGTTGGCAGGCCCTCGCACAGCCCGCCTGAATGCAGGCCGGGTTGGGCCCCGGGGCTTCCCCCCAAAGGGACGTGCCAAGCCACACTAGTTGTCCGCGGTGGGGGAGCTCTTGCTTCATCCCCACAACTGACTGTTGGGCAGGTCAGTTAGTGTCGCATGCCTTGACGAGCTCCTCTGTGTAGTGGGGAGGATGCCTGTGGGCCTGCCTTCAGAGAAGCCCCGTGAGGCGGGCGAGCTGCCGACAGAATGCGTGTGCATCGTGTGAACTTTGGTGCAGCTCTTCCCATCCCTTGTTGGTGTTCCCCCTCTGTTGGAGGGAGAAAGAACGGGGTGGGGGGAGGAGAGTGTCGAAGACTCGGTGGGCAATACCTGCGACGTCTCTAGCTGTGTTGGGTGCTGCGGGAATAGCACGTGGGAGCTGTTGGGGGTGCCCTGTCCTTGGGAGCCCCCATGAAGTCCCCACAAGGAGAGATGAAAGAGCAGGCAGTCTGTCCCCCGGGGCACTCGGAGGGGCACGGAATGTTGAACGTTGGTAAATATTTTCATTAATTGCTTAATTTGAAAAGAACTCAGGAAGTGATAGTAAAAATCAGAGTAACGCGAGCAGCATTTGCATGGCAAATAACCAGTTCGGAACGTACTTGCATATTCATGATTTCCCTTAACCCTCCCCACTCCTTGCATCCTTGAAGAGCGGCGAGGAAACCCGAACTCCAAGCGAGCAGATGATTCACAGTGTCACGGTCCTGAGAATGGAAGCGAGGGCTCCCATATCCGCCTGCTGTCCTCCTCGGCCCTCTTCCTCCCTCACCGCCACCCCCGCCCCCACCCATCCCCATCCCTGTCTGGCCCCCATTTTCCCAGAGGCCTGCATCCCTTCTTTCTCTCAGACAGGGAGTGGTGCTTCTGGCCCCACGTGCCTGCCGGACACTGGGGTTTGGAGGCAGAGGAAACTTGCCTGGGGCTGGGGTGTCCTGTGTACAGCCGTCCACCCTGCGCCCAGAGGCCGCCCTTGTAGTTTCACTTTCCCATCTCAGGGCCAATTCCTGGCCTGTCTCTGAACTCCTTAGATGGTTCTGCAAGTCCATGGCCAAAGATACTCTGAGCACAGAGCTCTGTCCCCTGCACGATGCTCAGCACAAGCTTGCTCCAACCTGAGGCTCATTGGTCCCCTGAGAATATTCATTTCTGAACAGAGGACCTTTTCTTCTTTTTTTTTTCTTTTTGGGTGGGTCATACCCAGCGATGCACAGGGGTTACTCCTAGCCCTGCACTCAGCAATTACTCCTGGTGGTGCTCGGGGGACCATATTGGATGCTGGGAATTGAACCCGGGTCGGCCGCATGCAAGGCCAATGCCAACCCACTGTGCTATCCCTCCATCCCCCAGAGGGCCTTTTCACGCAGGCCATTTGCCCTGCCCATCACCTCACCAGGTGACTAGGACCTTAGCAGGCCTGGCCCTGCTGCTTCTCAGCCTGGACCATCCTTTTTAAGTTATATTTTGTGTCTCAGCCTCATAGGCAGTATGTACTTACTGCAGAAGACCTGGAAAATGCAGAAGCACCTAAAAACATTCACCGTTCCTCATTTAGCAGACATTCCTGAGCACTTAGTCGGTGTTGGGTCTTATGTTAAATGTGACAGATAAGGGCATGAATAATGCATCACCTGTCTTCCTGTCGCTGAAAGATAATCACTATTAATATTTTGACATGTATCCTTCCAGTTTAAAAAATATGCATATTTTTAAAATATATTCGAGATGGTTTCTACTATGAGTATACACAGTTTTGGAACCTGCTTTTTCTTTAATTCAGGGGATAACATGAGCTTATTTCTGTGGTACTATAAATATCTTGAAGCATGTCATTTTTTCTGATTATTAAAGCAATTCGTGCTTGTTATCAAACTGAAATATTCAACATTTCAGAAATATACATTGAAATGTTATCCCTACTTGTATCCTCTCCAAAGGAGGGTTCCATAGGAAATTGGTACCCTGAACTATTTTTAACGGTTCAGTATAGTAAAACTACATTCCCATTCCATCACTTTAGAGCTTCTGATTTTTTATTATTAAAAATAAAAATTAAAGATATATATTTGCATGTAGAACTTAGGAAATTTTTTTCAGATTCTAGTCATGTGGTAACTTCCCAGTTGACGGAGCATTTGCATCAGTGATATGTGAGCTTATCCATTTCACCATAACTTCCTGGCAGTGAATATTGTAATTAAAAACCACAACATCAAATTTTTGTTAACTACGATAAATGAATTGTATCTTGTTTTAATTTGCGTTTCTCCAGTGCCTGTTGCATTTTCCTTGTTTGTTAACCAGATGTACTTCATTTTTTTTAAGACATATTTTTCTGCTTAATTACCGGGATCTTAATATTCTTAGAGTATAAAGGCTTTTTATAGCAAAATGTCTGAGGTGTAGGAAATTCAAGAGGCTCGTGAAGGGACAGATAAGGATACCTTCTCTTGTATTCTGTAATGATAGTTACTCATTTTGAACTGTGGAAAATAAAAAGGACTTGGGATTAAATGTTATCATTTAATATTCAGGATACACTGCTACATTCTGCTGTGTATCCTGAAACAACTGTTCTCGCTGCCTCAGTTTCCCCGTCTGTGACTGTTAATGTTGCCAGCAGAGGTACCGCGTGGCAGTACCTGTGTAGAGAGTTCTTAGGATATCGCCAGAGGGGGCGGGTTTGGAATGTCAGTGCGGTGCCCCTTCCCCTTCTAGGCCGGCTTCTCATGCTTCCTCCTCTTGCGTTTCTGCAGATCAGCCAGATGGCCGATGACATCGTGGCAGAGCTGGACAGACATCTGGCCGTGAAGACCAAGGAGCTCCTCGGGTGAGCCGCCAGGGGCAGGCAGTGCTCCGGAACCTGCTTTCCTGACTGCAATGGTGGCAGATGGGCAGCTCTCTACCCTGCACCCGTGGGCAACTGTCTACCCCGTGCCCGTGGAAGGTGAAGGAAGGCTGATACCCATCGGCGGCAGCTTCAGAGAGACACCAGCCTGTTCCTTGTCTCAGTTCCCTCGCCTGGCCTGGGTCATCGCCTGAGAATCTCCACCTCACATGGCCTTTACGTGGGACATCTGCCCTGACCATCACCTTGCCAGGCCACTGGAACTGTCCACAGGCCGGGCACCGCCTGCTCCTCAGTCCGGAGCCTCCTTTCGAATTCTCAGGCCCTAATGCCAGCTCCGAATGCTGCTCAGATGATGTGCATCTTTTCCTCAGGGTGGATACCTTTGCTGGAGGCCCGTTATGCCCAGCAACAATAAAATCTAAATAAATTGGAGAGAGTCAGACTCCCAAAGGAAGAGCTGGAGCAGGCCTGACCATGCACCCTGAGGGTGGGTGTGCGTTGGGCAGCCGGAGGGACACTGGCCCGAGTCAGTGCCCCCGCCCCCATCCCATTTCTCCCGCTCATCTGTCTCAGCTTGTGTTAGACTTCCTCCAGGAAGCCTTCCTGGGGCTGGGGCATTTCTGCTGCTCGCAGACTGCTGCCCACTGTTTTTTTTTTTTTTATCTGCCCCAAGTGTTGTCACAATGCCTGGAACATGGTTGACATTCACAGGAGTTAGGCTTTGAGTTGAGGTGCTGCTCAACGAGCGCCGACCTCCTTCCCTTCCCTTCCTTCCTCACATCTTCATTCTGTCTTTCCCCCTTGCCTTTGTCCTCCCGCACTTGCTGGAATGAGATTCCTTTTCCTCAGAGCCACTGGCTAGGGACCAGGATAGTGGTGGTTGTGGCTCATTTTTGTTCACTGGGATCAGCTAGTATTTTCCCCCAACTTTTTTTTCCCTTTCACTTGATTGTTTATTCATTGATTTCCTCCACGCCCCCATCCCCCTAAATCTGGGCATGACATAGCCATTGTAAACTCCATACGGGCAGATGGCGCGGTAGGCAATATTTGTCATCTTGACCAATAACTTGCAAGATGTGTGTAAGCTCATTTCAGAAAGAGGGAAACAGACTTGACATTATTTGATGGTTTGCCTAAAGGCACGAAGTTTGTAGGTGGAAGAGGGTTTCATCATTGTGGGTCTCCTGTCCGGGAAGAGGAGGAGGGGGAGGAGGGGGGGGAGGAGGACCTCCAAGAGGTGAAGTGTCCTGCCTGGGTACACAGTGCACATACACCCAGTGTGAAGTGTGTGTGTGGAGGTCTGCCCGCTGCATCACACTGTTCTCACAGCTGTGAGTGCCAGCTGTGTGCTGGGCACACAGAAATGGGCAGGACCTGACCCTTGTCTTTGAGGGGTGCAGAGGGCCCTGGGTTCTGCCTTGGATAGAAGGTGCAAAATCCCCATCCTCCCAGATGTCTGCTCTCAGCATGGAAGCCCCTTGGGCAGCCGGAGCTTGGCTGCTTGATGCTTCTGGTTCCATCTGGAGTTGGAGGTGGAACAGTCGCTCTGTTCCCTCTGCTCGCACCGCTGGGCTGGGGCTCGCTGCCCAACAGCCAGAGGGTCCTCGGAGTCAGAAATTGTCATAGATGACAGACGGATGCTAACACAGTGATTGCCCGGCTTACCTGTCCTCATTCCGACCCCATCCACCAGCCCAGGGGCGCCCTCTGGTAGTTGGAAGTCAGCTGGGAAAAGGAAAGGGAGAGAAGTAGCCAGCGAGGCACCTTTTTTGGAGAAAGCCACATGGCAGGGGCTTCTCATGAGTGGCTGAAATCCCTCACTCCCTGCAAATGTGCTTCTCAAAGATACAGGATTTTTTAATAAACAGAGGAAATGATAAATTATGTTGTAACTCCACTCCAAAGGCATTTGGTTCTTAACAGCCAAATCCTCTGTAGTCTTTAAATAAACAAAAACTTATTTGGTGAACAGACGTGGGGAAAATGAAAGATTTTCAGTTCTTGGGTTCCACATGTCAACAATTTCTCTCCTGTGTGTATGTTGGCCAAAGCCGTATATCATGATAAATGAATAAAGGAAAGCCTCCAGCCCAGGGCAGGCAGACAGCACAGCAAATGGCTTTCAGCTGATTGCTCTATTCCAGTTGACGTTTACCCCAGAGTTTCTCTGGTACTCAGAGCGTCCGAGCGGTAGCACGGCAAGGACGAGAGTGAAATTACCTGTTTGCATGTGCTGCTGAGTGCTGGGTGATGCTGGAGTTAGTTCTCCTCCTTCAGTCTCTCTCTCTCTCTCTCTCTCTCTCTCTCTCTCAAAGAAAGACAGGGGCAGGAAGGTCCAGTGGGTGAGGCCGACCCAGGTTCAATCCCTGGCACCACAAATGTTCCCCCGAGCACAGATCTAGGACTAAGCCCTGAGCACCATTGGCTGTGGCCCCAGACTCCCCTCCCCTCTGCCCCTGCCCAAGGAGAGACTGGGTATGGCTGTCCTCACACTTGCCGGAAGAACAAACCACCGCCACCGCCATTCCATTCATTGCCTTCTGAATCCCGTGAAAAGACGGGCCAAAGAGAATGGAAAGTCCTTTCATCAGTTTGCTCTTTTCTTCTTCCTGATGTTTGTGCAGGCGTGTATGTACCTCTGCACGTATGTGTGGGAAACCAGCAAAAGGAATCTTACAAAAAGTTAGAAGTGAAACTTCTCACAGATTCGCAAATCCTGTTCCCCGTTAGCATTTAGGCATGTGTCCTTCCAGGCCTTTCCACAGAGATGGTTCCATTAAGCCAGGAGCAGGACTGTTCTGGTCACTTACGGGTCTCGCTTCTTTTGACCCAACAACTATTCACAGGTGTCCATAGAGACATCCTTTTTTGGTGCAAGAACATTTGTTGCTGGAGCATAATGGATGTAGGATGTAACGTGACATATTTCACTATTACTCTGTGCTATATGAAAAGTCATTCTAGGGGTCAGAAAGATACGGTAAGGCATTTGCCAGGCACATGGCTGGCCTGGGTTTTCTCCCTGGTACCACATAGCCTTGAGCCAGGAGTAAGTTCTAATCACAGCCCAGTGTGGTCCATCCTCATTTTCCCCCAAAAGAAGATCATTTCAGGGCCAGGATGTCGCTCAATGGTGAAAACGTGCCCCGTAGGTGTGAGGTCACGGGCTGGATCCATGGCAGCTTGAAAAAATAAAAAGTCTGAGGCTGGAGTGATAGCACAGCAGGGAGGGCATTTGCCTTGCACGCGGCTGACTGGAGTTCGATTCCTGGCATCCCATATGGTTCCCCAAGCACCACCAGGAGTAATTCCTGAGAGTATGAGCCAGGAGTAACCCCTGCACATCGCTGGGTGTGACCCAAAATGCGAAAAACAAAAAAGTCATTTTCAGCCGTAGTGGTGAATGTTTCTATTTAGAGATTCTCTTTTGAGATAAAAAGAAATTTTTGTGTTTGTTTCATTTTTTTCCCAACCTCAGACACATCCAGTTTCCACTGTAAACCAGGAACCTGGTGGACACTTTACATATGATAGTGCATTTAAACTTCCAGATCACTCTTGGAGTATATATTGCTACTCCGGATGCTCAAATATGAGAAAACAGACTCGGGAAAGATAACTAAGAGTATTTTAAAAAGGTTACAAAGCCAATAAATATCAGCGAGGACTTTGAAATTCAGATCTCACTTTGTTTTTGGTGTGTGTGTGTGGGGGGGGGGTTTGGTTTGATTTGATTTGGGGGCCACACCCAGCTGTGTGGAAGGCATACTCCTGGCTCTGCCCAAGGGGTTGCGCCTGACCAGGCTCAAGGGAGCCTACGTATGTGGTGCCAGGGATCGAACTGGGTCAGCCATGTGCAAAAGTAAACATTTTAAATAGCCCCCACCCCTGTACTAGCTGCAGCCCCTCAGATCTGACTTTGAAGGGGGCCCTTAATCCCTTCTGCGCTGAGCGTTCATTCAGAATGGACTTGGCCGTGTTCTGGGCCCCAGAGTGAGAACAGGCGAAGCAGAAAGCCCCTTTCGTGAGACAGCTGCTTGCAAGCAGCCAGTCACCAGCGCTGGCAGTCGCTGAAAGAACGGCCACTCTTGGTGATGACCGATTCATGCCTCTCTGCTGGCCAGACTCCTAGAATGTGTCCCGGACCGAGGGGTGAGCAGACTGGCCAGCCGTGGGGAGAGAGAAGCATTTGATAGCATCAGTGAGTAATGCTGGCTTGGTGCTTGCAGTTCTCAGAGTATTTGGACATCCGTTTTCCCTTTAAAGCCGTCAGTTTGTAGCTTTGCTGTTTCTTTTTTTGGTGGGGGAGTGCAGGGGGGGTATCACACACGGTGATGCTCAGGACTTACTCCTGCCTCAACACAGAAATCCCTCTTGGCAGTGCTCCAGGGACCATAAGGGATGCCAGAAATGTAAGCCTGGTCTGCCGTGTGCAAGGCAAGTGCCCTCCCTGCTGTGCTGTCGCTCTGGCCCAGAGCTCTGCAGTTTCTTTTGCTGTCCTAGATAGATGCTCACGGTGTGTGTGGGAATATCAATTTTCTATTTGGGGGCACACATCTTGATATCTTAATATATACATAGGGATGTTTAGAGATGATCTTGCTTGGGGTTTTTTTTTGGGGGGGAGGGTTATTGTCACACCTGGCTATGCTCAGGAGTTCCTCCTGGCTCTGTAATCAGGAATTACTCCCAGCGGTGCTCAGGGGACCATATGGGATGCTGGGAATTGAACCCAGGTCAGCCGTGTGCAAGGCAAGCACCTTACCCACTGTGCTATTCTCCAGCCCCTTGCTTGGGTTTTTGTATTTTTCTTTTGATTTGGGGGCTACACCCAGTGGGGGTGAACACTGGGCAGACCACCTTTGCTCCCAGAAGTGCTTGGATGCCAAACTCTTCCCCTGTGCAAAACACGTGCTCCAGCCCATGGGGCCGTGTTTGGGGCACAGGTATTGTTTATTCAGGACCCCCCTCCCCACCACTACCACCGAATTCGAATCCTGAGCTTTGGTCGGCTCTTGTGGCCTCTGGGATTCTCCCTGCTTGCTTCCTCTAATTCTGATTTCATGAAAGAGCTCTTGAGTTGGGAGAACTGAGCTTCCGGTGCCACCCAGGGCTTGGAATCTGCCTTCTCGCTCCTCACCTCAAGATTACAGCCTTTGCTTTCCCTTGGGATTCCCATTTGTTGGATAGGTCGTTCCTATTCCTTAATCTTCTTATTCTGTTTCGTTTGGGGGCTGTTATCGGCAACTGGAATTTCTCTAAGCAAGCAAGGAAGTTTATAGAAGCCAAAAAGGGGTTAGTCAAACAATCCATTGGTTAATACAGAAGCCAAAAATAAAGAAGTTAAATGATAGTTAAACAGAAACCGAAAACAAAGTAGTTAAAGAATAAAGTAGTCAATCAATAAAGCAGTCAAAC